TTTCACGCACCTACATACTTTTGTATATTTCCACCTCTCTTCCTCATCATAATGTATAATAATGTTTTTTCCCAAGGTGTATATGTATAAAACTAACATCCTGTACTTTGTGACCAATTGACGGAATCAATCATAAGAAATAAATCTATAATATAATGAATATTACCTCTATACTTTGAGATAGGCCGTAATATTTTCTAATCAGTAAAGAGAAACTTTTTGGCGATTTCTATATTTATAGTACTCATAGGTACCTAAAATGATTTCGTCACTCACCTTAGAAAAAAAATTTAGTAGATTGGATTTATTCTTAGTCGCCGCTTGCAATTCTTCTTCGATTCTCCTAGATACAAGAATATCTAGTTCCTTGTCGGATTCTGCTTGTAATTTGTAATTTCGCCACACTTCGTTAACTAACTTTTGTACATTTCGTACTTTCGTACTTGTATGAGATTTTTTAAAACTTTCAAACAATTTTTGGTATAACTTGGATTTGTCTATGTGAAACGACATCTTATTTAAATATTAAACTTTGGCTAATGGAATCAATGGTAACACAAATGTTAACTTGCTTTACGATGCTTACAATACGTATAGTATTCAAACGAAACAATACACTGATAGAGGAAATTTAGACAAGAGAACACCGGGCGGTAATTCCCCTACTCGGTTCTAAAGCGAGTAGGGGAATTACCGCGCGCTGGTCACTAAACGTATGCATTATTTGCGGGAATCCCCGAAAATGCGTTTCGTTTTCAAGCAAAGACAATGTGAGGGTTGCCATTCGTGTAAAAAAGTAAATAACAACCGATGACGTAATCATCCATGTCATCCAAAATAAGCAAAGCAAAGACCCCCACGCCCCCCCATAGTGCTCACGTAATACTTGAACGGCCCCTTACTTCCGGATCACCCCCTACAGTTCATAACTCATTATACCAAAAAACTGTCATGGTTTATTTGATTTATTACTTTTTTGACAGCAATTTAGGCGTTATCAGCAGAAGCTACTAATCAGTTAGGAATTCCGTGGGTAATGACTGCAATAATATTGATATTGGACGATTAGGTTGTACCGCATAGGCAGAACCGTCTTAAGTCGTGGACAGAACGAGATTCGGGGCCATACTTTTCTTCGTCAGTCACCTAGGGAGAAATCTAAATGCTGTCAGGGTTACGTGAAAAGCCTATAAAGTGCAAAAAAAACATTTCTGTCTCATTGTCACTAGCATCATTTAAAACTGACTCATCGTCATTGTTACAAACAGTTTTTATTAATTCTGTATCATTCTTCCACCAATTCATCACCATTAGATTTTGGGTAAGATTTTCACACCCTGCATATTTTTACGACGAGCTCATTTCCATTTCTTGGTAAGAAAATGATTGTAAAACCAGTTCTTAAATAGAGCGGCATCCATCCAAGCGTTTTTTAAAATTTTTATACTACAGTGTAAGATCGTTGGGACGGATTTGTTTAAATGATCTTGGCTTAGCTGATTTTCCGATTAACAACAAAGGAAGTTTGCGTATACCGGAAGCATTGCTACAAGCAAGGATAGTCACACGTTACTGCGTTTGTAACTAGGAGCTCCAGATTCTCGTTTTGAAACTAAAATTTTCGACGGTAACATAGTTTAGGCCCGTTTCGTCGCCGTTGTAAATTTGTTCTGGATTTAAACCATACTGCTTCAAAAATTTTTAGCTTTGATCGAACCACTGCCAAATCCAAAATAATTGTTGCCGTCTGATAGATAAAAAATATGGTCATACTTCAAGGAGTATTGTTAGTAGGGTTGGTCAAACATCGTTGGGCTTCCAATATAATAATAATAATAATAATAATCGTCTTTATTTAAACTGTACTTCATACAGAAACAAGAGTTGCATATGGTGGCGAAGTTTAGCAACATGCTACTCTTACACTTAACCACCCATGCAAAAAAAAAAACAAGTTCTTAAGTAGCAGATATCAAAAAAAATATACATATATACATACATACATACATATACACACATTACATACGTACATGTTACACCAAGCTTTGCTACATGTACACAAGGGAAGTGAAGAATCATTTAACAATATATCTATAGCAATCTAATTAAGACTATGGATCCAAGTAAATATGAGATTTGACAGCTTTCTTGAAGCAATTTAAGGACATGGTTTTGAATTCAGGACTCAAGGCATTGTATAACACTGAAGCCCTGTAAGTGAAAGAACGCTGGAATAAAGTTGTGGAGTGAATAGGTGTAGTTATCAAATCTGGAAATCTAATATGTCTATGATGAATATTTCGCCTAAAGATCAGCTTTTCTCTTAAGTATATAGGTTTTGACATAAGTATTAGTTTATGAATAAAAACAAGGTAATGATATTTGACAATATTTTTTGTTATCATCCAGTTTAATTCAATAAGACTACCAGAAACATGGTCAAAGCGCCTTAAACCGCAGATGAACCTAGCACAATTGTTTTGCACAATTTGAATCCGATTTCTAGTAACAACATTGAGACACGGATAATATAAAATATCGCAGTAGTTGAAAATCGGCATAACCAAAGATGAACACAGTTTTTTCCTTAGCTTATAATTGAAAATTGCTTTATTGGCATATAATGATCTCAGTCTCAAGTAGGTTTTCTTCAAAAGATTTTTAACATGACTGGTGAATCTAAGTTTGAAATCGATTACCACGCCAAGAATTTTAACCTCGTCAACCGGGTGCAGTCTTTGAGATCCAATTTTAATAGTTAATCGACTTTTAATTTCTTCTCTCCTACGATCCGAACAAAAAAATAACAGGCTGGATTTACCAGGATTTATTGACAGGTTGTGGTTATTCGAGAAGTCATACACTTTTTGAATATCATGGTTTATTGATGTCTGTGCCATTTCCATATCATCAGTATCAAAATAATGGACCAGTTGAGTATCATCTGCAAAAGACTGGAGTTCACAAAAACTCACAGCCTTAGGCAGATCAGCAATATATATCAAAAACAACAAGGGACCCAAAACAGACCCCTGGGGTACTCCAGACGAGATTTCTAGAAAACTAGATTTATTGTTTTCAATTGATACACACTGTGATCGATTTGATATATAATTTCGAAAAAAATTCAATGCAATTGGATCTATGCCATAATACTTCAACTTTGCTATTAACAACTCATGATTTATTTTGTCAAATGCCTTGGAATAATCGATTGACATCACTGCTACGCCCATTTTTTTATCAAGTGCTCTAATAATATTATCCACTAAGTTTAAGAGGGAAGTAGTAGTACTGAAAGATTTCCTAAAAGCAGACTGATCAGATGGGATGATATGTTCCTCTGCATAATGCATTAGTTGTATGTGGGCTGCCTTTTCAACTACCTTCGATAAACAAGGCAACAAGCTTATAGGCCTTAGATCAGCAAACTCATCTGGATTTGATTTTTTTGGAACTGGTACCACAATTGCTCGCTTCCACGTTTCAGGGAAATAACCTCTTTCAAGGCAACTATTAACAAGGTGGGTGATGTAGATGAGAGTAACAGGCAGACTGAGCTTAATCATAGACAAGCTCAACCCATCAGTACCTTTTGCATCGGACTTAAAACTAGAAATTATTTCAGCTACTTCATGAGGCTCTAGAAGCCTGAAAGAAAATTTATTAATATGGGGAACATTTTCGTTATAATACCTTAAAACGTGATCAGGAGCATTTGTGGAATCAAAAACTGATATGAAATAATTATTTGCAAGGAAAGAGTCTGCAAGATGGTTTGGAATACGTGGCTTATCAGATGTTTGTGCTTTCATATTTTTCAATTCATACCACAATTTTTTCTGATCACGCCCTTTTTCCAAGTGAGCAAGATACGCCATTTTTTCATGTCTAATGCACGATAGTGCAAGGTTTCTAAGTTCCCTAAAAACCTGCAATCTTGCTGGACTTCTGTCTATCTTGTATAAATAATATGCTCTCGTTTTTTGCTTCAGAAGCTGTCTCAACGGATATGACAACCACGGCGCTTTCGGCTTACTCACGCGTACCGTCCTTATAGGAGAGTGACGATTGAAGATGTCAATTAACTTGCTACTGAAAAATTGAACTTTATCATCAATATTCCTCATATAACAAATTTCAATAAAATTTACTCTAGCCAGGTCATCAATGAACGATTGCTCATCAAAGTGTGAGAAATCTCTGAAGGTGATCATTTTTTGTTCATGTTTCACACGGGATATGTTTAAGATACAGCAAACAATTTTATGATCGGACAACAAATTAGCATCTAAAGTAAACCAGTTAGTGACAGTAATTGGGGTATTAATAAAAATAGGGTCCAGAAGAGTTGCTGTACTATTAGTTACTCTAGTGGGAGCATCAATAATTTGCTTGAAACCATACATATCCAAGCATTGTTGTAAGCTATTATCGGCAAATAAATTTACATTTAAATCACCAAGGATAATAATATTTTTAAAATTACTCAGTACATTAGGCATTATATTGTCTAAGGCATTTGTACAATCAACTAGCCTTTGTGAAGGGGGACGATACAATATACCTACAGCAAAATCATGCTGATCAATCCTTAATTTTACCCATAGCTGCTCTAAAAACGGAACTGTGTTGAGCGTGACGTCATCATCAATAATCTCAGCACGTATGTCTTGTCTAATATAAACACCACAACCACCACCACGAGACAACCTGTCCTTGCGAAAAAAGTTAAAATTTCTGATGTTAACTACATCCATTGTGATATCAGGGCTTAACCATGTTTCCGTTAGAGCAAGAATGTCAAAATCATCCTCATTCATCATGTCCGTAAATGCGTCAAAGCTTGACATCAGAGATCTTATATTTAGGTGACCTATTTTGCACTTCTTCGTAATACTAACAGGTTCCATATGGATTCAGGAGTATTAACAAAAATAATAAAAAGTTAAAAGTTAAGGAAATATATGTACAAAAGAAGAGTCGTTCAACTAGAGTTGCTAATCAAAGTTAATTCTATTTCTCAAATTGCGCACATAATTTATATAAGCCGGACAATGAGAATCATTTGCAGCATGATTAACTTGGACGTGTGACTTAGACTTAGAACCATAACTTACACAATTTATACATTTCACCTGGTCACTTGCGACCTCGCACTGATTTGCCATATGATCTCTTGAGCATTTGATGCATGCAGAGGTAGACGATTTGCATTGCTTAGCAATATGCCCGAACTTACAGCATCTGAAGCACTGGGTTATCCGCAGATGATCAACAATAGGACACTTTCTCCAACCCAACCAGACATAGCCTCGTGTTAGAAGCTTCTTGCGTAAATCAGGGGATACTTCCAGAACTATTTGACGAGTTCTCTCAATTTTGGTGATAACTTTTAAATCCGCATGATCATCCATGTCATTCAATCCCACGATGTTCTCAATTAACATCTTGTCATCCTTGATATCATCAGAGAAATTCACATTTTTTACTAACAGACGGGGGTTGTATTTTTTCAACTCGTTGGCAGTCAAACGGCCATTTAGTTGACCATTGACAGCATTTTTTAGTTTTGCCACATCGTCATCTCCCTTGCAGTACACAGCAACCCCTTCTTTAATTTTCTTAGTGCCGCTAATGCATATATTTAAACGAGAAGGAATAATCGTTTTTGACAAGACTTGTAGCACATCATCTCTATTATTCCTATCAGCTGATTTCACTAGTAAAACAGACGATTCTACATTTTTCTCATTCTTTACATTTTTCTGTAATACCTGACTATACGTGTTCGTGCTAGCAATATTTTTTACTGGAGCAACAGCACTTTTTGCCTCACTGAGCTCTTTTTGTAACGTATCGGATTTGAATTTATGTAACTCCAAGGAAGACTCGAGTTCACTAATTAATTTAGCCTGGATATCTTTCTCTCTATTAAGACATTCGATTTCTTTTTGCAGTATCAACATATGCGAATTACTGTCACTATTAACATCCAGCTGCGATTTAGTGACGCTAGAGTTTCCTACTTGTTTGCAGTTATCACAAAACCAGATCAAATTATCAAACTCACATAGATACTTGCAGATTAGATCCTTCAACCCAACACACACAGGATGGAATGATTTCACACACAGCTTGCACTTTATTACTTTGCTGTTAACAATGAAATTATCAGCACATATCGCACATACGTCCACATCGTCTGCCATCTCGACGTGAAATAATCATCATTTAGGAACTCTTATACATAAAATTGAAAATAATAAAAAGCTATTATAGTCGTTCTTGCGATTATGCTGCATCGACTACTGGGTCATTAGCTGCAAAAAAAGCTATTATATACTAAGTGACATATAAATCCGAACACCCAGTTTAAATGGTTTTATTTTAATAAAATTTTGTATAAGTACTTAATGAAGCATAATAAGTAAACGATAAAAATTTCAAAATGATTGCACTGCTTTAAAGCCCTTTGACCTTTAATAATGTGTGGATGCACCCTGATGTGCTACGCATTCTCCAAAGCGCCTAAGCATGCTTCTGATCAGGTGGTCAATGTCCTCCCGTGGTATCTCAATCCAGGCAACCACCAACTCCTCACGAAGTGCTTCTAGAGTCTGAGGAGGACGTTGCAAATTGAGCAATCTCCTACCCATCATATCCCACACGTGCTCAATTGGGGATAAGTCGGGAGATCTTGGTGGCCATGGTAACAATGTGACATCATTATGTTGAAAGAAGTCTATTGTGACTCTTGCAACATGTGGTCGGGCATTATCTTGTTGGAAAGTTGGATCTGCCAGGGTGTCAAGATAGGGTAAAAGTTGGGGTTCTAGAACTTCGTGGGTATAACGCTGCGCGTTCATGTTACCTCTGATGAAGATTAAAGGTGACCTGGAACCATAAGCTATAGCACCCCAAACCATAACTCCAACAGTGTGATGAACGTGTCTTTCAACAAAAAACTGTGAATTCCTCATTTTAACACGTCGCCTTCTAACCCTGGCACGACCATCGTGCATGCCTAAACAAAATCGAGATTCGTCACTAAAGACAATGCTGTTCCATTCCTGATCCCAGAGTGACCGTTGTCTGCACCACTCAAGGCGATTACGTCGGTGTTCTCGAGTTAAATGGAGGACCCAGTGTGGCCGGTATGAAAACAAGCCAAAACTTCTCATTCGTCGGTAAACACTTCGCATGCCAATAGGTCTTCCGTGTTCTCGAAACCATTCATTTGCAATGGACCTGGTAGTGGAGAAACGGTCCCTTAAGGCCAATAATCTTAAGCGACGATCTTCACGGTCTGTTGTTCTACGGCGGCGTCCAGTGCCCCTTGCTCTTTGCGTACTGCCTTCTCGAAGCCATGCCTGACAACACCTAACCACAGTGTCTACACTTCTTTGCACTCTAACTGCAATTGCCCGAAAAGAAAGTCCAGCTTCCCGAAGTCCCACTATATGGCCCCTATCAAACTCACTAAGTTGACGAAATCGTACAGGTCTCCGTACTCTAGGCATCGTAACCGATCGTAAAGGATGCCAAGAACCAAAATCCGCCAACGTTGATTCTTTACTGCGGCTGAAATATTCATTTTTAGAGCGTTAGTGAATTAAAAAAAGCAGTATAAAAACCAGAATGTCCAACTGATAAGGCTGAAAATTTGTTCACTTGTTATTTACAGTAAGATAAATACATTCACCAACTTTTATTAAAATAAAACCATTTAAACTGGGTGTTCGGATTTATATGTCACTTAGTATATTTAAAAAATAAACTTATGCCTCGTTTAAACATAATTTCATCCAATAGAGTTATCAGATCTCCGCATTTATTCACCATGCCACACCACAAGACAGCTTTATTCAACCGATTTGACGTTAAATAGGTTCAAATATTATTTGAAACTGTTTTTTTGTGTATGTGCTTGTCTTAACATCAAATTTAAATATATTCACATGATTTTACTGTTTTATTTTCTTTCTTAGATTTGGGTCAAGTGGAAGATTAACTACATGAGCTAAACTTCACAGTTCCATAATCGAATGTCATTGTAAATAAAAATGATTATTATTATACAGGGTTTGTCCGGAAAGTAATAGGACTGAGTCGATTTAAAAAAATTTATTGAGCCAATCGTTACAATTCTTTAAAAACTTTCAAAATAGATCGTCGATGCAGCGCTGCCAGCGCGTTTTCCAAGCATTGAAGGCGTCACGGAAGGCATTCTCCGGAATAGCCTTGAGAGCCGCGGTGCATGCTGCATGGATCCCCTCTGTCGTCTCAAAATGCTTGAATTTCATCGGCCTTTTCAGGCGAGGAAACAAAAAAAGTCCAGGGGGTCACATCTGGGCTGTAGGGCGGCTGCGGAAGCGTTGGGATGCCGGCCTTGGTCAGGTAGCTCTTCACAAGAAAGGCGGTGTGAGCCGGGGCGTTGTCGTGGTGCTTCTTCCAGTCGGCTGCGATGTCTTCCACGTAAAACTTGGCGTTGACGGTTTGTCCAGCAGGAACAAATTCATGGTGGACGATCCCTTTGATGTCAAAAAAAACAATGAGCATCGATTTCACTTTTAATTTGCTCATCCTTCCCTTTCTCGGGTTAGGAGACGCCGTCGTGTGCCACTCGGAAGATTGCCTCTTTGTCTCGGGATCATACTCAAAGATCCACGACTCGTCACCTGTGATTACGTTCCGAAGTACAGTCATGCCGGAAGAAAATGAGTCGTATTACTTTTCGGACAATCCCTGTACATCTAAAGTAAGTGTATTTGAGACAGAAAACCAATGGAATTATCAACACACATTATTAGAACACACATCCTCACTATTCACCTATCCACTGCCGTTTCCTGTCAGCTATAGTATACAACTAGGCCGCATCTGCAACAGATGACAAGACCAGTATGTTCAGATGGTAGGTATTCATTTTTTCATTTCAGAGGAAAATATCGATGACTTTGTTTCAATCAAAAGCGAGTCCTTATTCAGTCGACAGTTTCAACACGCTAAGAAGGCGCAAACCCAGAGCAGTTAACGATTTGACAGAAAGAGCAGTCAAGTTATTACAAGACTTCCATGGTTAATCACTACTGATGCGGAACAAAAACAATTTTTATTACGTTGCGAACAAGAACACAGGCGGATATATCCTGTAGAAAGAAAACCTTGAAAAAAAATTAGTGTTTAGTGTAATGTCCTTTTAATAATAAATATTCAAGAAATATATGATACAAATAAAGCAGTGTCTTAATTTCAAATTCAAAGATTAAAAAATTAGCAGCGACTCCCTCTAAGACGAGAGATCTGGCGATTATCGCTTCTTGTTCTGGGAAAAAGCTAGGCTAACCCTGCGCAGTACAAATCCAGGAACTTGATACTAGCTCATCTAGTGTATTTTATAGCTCGTATCAACTACTTAAATGATCGAACAGAATTTCCCTGGAAACAACAATTTCAAAAAGTAACTTCGATTATCGGTTTATGGTTATTGGTGTTGCTGAATATATTTCTTTATCCTTAAGTTGCAATTAGAGGTTGACAGGTGTATTATTAACGCATGATTACCTTATCTAGCCGCAATGTCTCGGTCATGGTATGAAAGCACGTGAATATCGGCAGTTAATACAATTTTCACATTAACGCTCCTTGGGACAGACGTTATGTTTGTGCCACGAAATCTCTTAGTTTTTCTGTGTTTCATCGTTGTTTTTAAATCAAGTGAGTAAAATTGTCAAATTACTGTGTTTAAGACGAATTTAGTTCCAACGCTAAAATACGGGTGTTATAAGTTCTAGCGTGCGTATGTGTGCTACTGTCTGTCATCGTATCTTCCCTACAGATTGACCGATTTGAGTGCTATTTTATATATTTATATACTAAGTGACATATAAATCCGAACACCCAGTTTAAATGGTTTTATTTTAATAAAATTTTGTATAAGTACTTAATGAAATAAGTAAATGATAAAAATTTCAAAATGATTGCACTGCTTTAAAGCCCTTTGACCTTTAATAATGTGTGGATGCACCCTGATGTGCTCCGCATTCTCCAACGCGCCTAGGCATGCTTCTGATCAGGTGGTCAATGTCCTCCTGTGGTATCTCATTCCAGGCAACCACCAACTCCTCTCGAAGTGCTTCTAGAGTCTGAGGAGGACGTTGCAAATTGAGCAATCTCCTACCCATCATATCCCACACATGCTCAATTGGGGATAAGTCGGGAGATCTTGGTGGCCATGGTAACAATGTGACATCATTATGTTGAAAGAAGTCTATTGTGACTCTTGCCAGGGTGTCAAGATAGGGTAAAAGATGGGGTTCTAGAACTTCGTGGACATAACGTTGCGCGTTTATGTTACCTCTGATGAAGATTAAAGGTGACCTGGAACCATATGCTATAGCACCCCAAACCATAACTCCAACAGTGTGATGAACATGTCTTTCAACAAAAAACTGTGGATTCCTCCTTTCACCACGTCGCCTTCTAACCCTGGCACGACCATCGTGCATGCCTAAACAAAATCGAGACTCGTCACTAAAGACAATACTGTTCCATTCCTGATCCCAGAGTGACCGTTGTCTGCACCACTCAAGGCGATTACGTCGGTGTTCTCGAGTTAAAGGGAGGACCCAGTGTGGCCGGTATGAAAACAAGCCAAAACTCAGTCGTCGGTAAACACTTCGCACGCCAATAGGTCTTCAGAGTTCTGCAAACCATTCATTTGCAATGGACCTGGTAGTGGAGAAACGGTCCCTTAAGGCCAATAATCTTAGGCGGCGATCTTCACGGTCTGTTGTTCTACGGCGGCGTCCAGTGCCCCTTGCTCTTTGCGTACGGCCTTCTCGAAGCCATGCCTGACAACACCTAACCACAGTGTCTACACTTCTTTGCACTCTAACTGCAATTGCCCGAAAATAAAGTCCAGCTTCCCGAAGTTCCACTATACGGCCCCTATCAAACTCACTAAGTTGACGAAATCGTACAGGTCTCCGTACTCTAGGCATCGTAACCGATCGTAAAGGATGTCAAGAACCAAAATCCGCCAACGTTGATTCTTTACTGCGGCTGAAATATTCATTTTTAGAGCGTTAGTGAATTAAAAAAAAGCAGAATAAAAACCGGAATGTCCAACTGATAAGGCTGAACATTTTTTCACTTGTTATTTACAGTAAGATAAATACATTCACCAACTTTTATTAAAATAAAACCGTTTAAACTGGGTGTTCGGATTTATATGTCACTTAGTATATAATTTAACACTAATTTACACTTGCAACTAATTTATAACTATAACGCCTGGAGTACTATTCCTTCTTAACCCGCACCATTGACTATCTCGACTGTGACTGCCTGCTTCCGCCATCTGGTCGGACATTTATGTAGCGAATCGACGGTCGCCGATACATTCCAGTATTTTCTGGCAAAACTAGATTCCTTCTAGAAGCGTTGCCTAAATGTCGACATCGCGAGAGGTCGACCGCCAACCTAAGTCCCAGGTATACGAGGGTATTACAATATCAAGAGGAAGCATCCTCATTCATTGGAAACGCAACGTGGATTTATTTGGACTTACTTTTCTAGAATGCACAGAGTCAGTACAACTTGTACCAGGCGTGGAATGCACTAGACCATGTAGAGAAGGGGAACCTCCTAAGTTTTGTTATTACAAGTTTGTCACTGAGCTGTATGTCGCTGGAGGGCCGTAAGTATACTCAACATTTTTTTATAAGGTGAGACTTCCTAAGATTAGGCTCGATCTCGTTCCCCCAATCCTTTATCGCTGTGATTTTTGAAAATAATTACTTTGCTTAAGTTAAACATGATATCACAGAAGTCGGAAATCATAATACTTATCAGAAAAATATAGCAGACACGTAGCGCTACCGTTGCTGCCTCAATCTAAACACTTTCTCCAAATGTATTCAAATTAATCAAAGAATGATTTCCAGAGCTTGTTTTGTTTGCACCCCTAACCAGGACAATATGTTCACACAGAACTGTCAGTGTATCACTACAGACGGGTTTGAACGCACCTTATTTTCGATCAACAGAATGTTTCCTGGGCCAAGCATTCAGGTAAGTTTCTGTTATTCATAGTCCCAGACGAATATTTGCATCTGTTCTACGTCAAAGTACGTCCAATAAAAAGTATTCAGAGTTTTCTATGACTGTAGATTTGGTAACATCGCGAAAATCTTTAACGGACCCGCACCCTTTTTTTACAATTAATTGAGTCATTTGTCGGATATTTAATGCGTTCCAAACTTTTGTCACATTTTTGTCGTAAGCGAATCGATGGCACATCCACCATTTTCTAAAAACAACAATGTTCAACGATGTGGAGCATCCACCATATTTATAACTATTGCGATACGATAGGCTCTTCCACCAATACGAAATTTAGGCTGATATGAAGCTTCTTAGCTTCGGTAATTGCTCTATAAGTGCATCTGAATACTTACATTTTTTGTACGTTTATCAAAACACGAACATTTCATATTGAATGGCTTGTAATTCGACAGGTTTGTGAAAACGATAGGGTCATAGTGGATGTGAAAAACGAGATAGAAGGAAATGAGCTAACGATGCACTGGCATGGTATCTTTCAAAAGGGTACTCAGTACTACGACGGTGTACCCATGATTACTCAGTGTCCTATACAACAAGGAACCACATTCAGGTAACCACAGTTGAGTCATAGCACAAAATTAATTGCCTTTTATTTTAACAAACTCAAAATGATATCAAGTTGCCGTTGAAAACAAAAATTTGTTTACTTTCTTTAGTGTCAGTCGATATTTATTTATTTTGCTTTACGCTTTAAGATGTATAAATTAGAAAAAAGAAAAACTCACTTGAAGAACAAAGCTGCATTACTTTGAACGCTAAAAAAAAACTCCAAAAACCACAAAATCAATTATTCTTACAAAAAAATAAACGAATCAGGGTTCTATAATACAGAAATTGGTGGGTTTGAGATTTCATTTGCGAGAAAATCTGAATTTAATTGTTTTTTGAAAAACAAAGAAATTTTCTTCTTTCTGCAGCTGTTTTTGGAACCTATTTCGTATTTAGATGGTTTTGCTCCTTGCGCTTGTATATTTCCACCCGGGAAAAAAAACGGTGATGAGGCAGATTTTGAAACGAATTTTAGGATTTAAAATAAAAATCAATTTGGTATAGCGACATACTGGGTATAAAAAAGTTACTCATTGGCTCTGTACTTTTCTAGATAATTAACCTTGAACAAGGAGTTCAATGCTGACCTTGGATTTGACCTTTAAGATTATTTCAAGGTCAGCTTTTGTTTTTAAGATGGGAAGGCCCTATTTGACATCGGCAATCACCTCTAGATACCGAGAGGATGGCAAATGTGAAAGGCTAGGTAGAAATTCAAAAAAAAACAAAAATCAAAGTCAGACTCTTTGGTAATTTTCCACTAGGATTTTATTGACTTTGGATTTGACCTTGAGCCTCATCTTCAAGATCATAATAGTGCATGAGGACGTATTCAAACGTAAAACTTTCCTTTTCCGATGTCAAAGAGAGATTTCCAGTTAAAAAAAGGATGACCTTGAAATGTCTTCAAAGGTGAGGACAAGGTTGAATTCAAGGTCGCCATTGAAGTCCTTGTTAGTAGCCACTATTGATGAATTTTTGCCTCCAAAAATTCTACTTAACTTCTAGGAATTTCTACTAGCCTCTCGCATTTGACCTTCAGGGTTTACTTTGATCTTAGATTTTAATAACGTAAAATGCTGCTTTTACAACGTTTTCTGGAAGTTGCGGATCCAGCAAAGGAGTCCTGGGGGTCCATCAGCCCAAAAAATATCCAAGTGTAAAAAAAACCTGACGTGTTTTTCAATTATGGATGACCTCCCAGGCTCTTCAATTTCCAATCACTGATCCCCCCCTGGACTTGGGGGACTTTGAAAATAGGCCTTTACAATAACAATAACAAGGAATTCAATGCTGACCTTGGATTTGACCTTGAGCATTACCTTTATTATTATTTCAAGGTCAGCTTTTGTTTTTAAGATGGGAAGGCCCTATTTGACATCAACAATCACCTCTAGATGCCGAGAGGATGGCGAATGTGAAAGGCTAAGTAGAAATTCAGAAAAAAAAACAAAAATCAAAGTCAGACTCTTTGGTAACTTTCCACTAGGATTTTAATATTGACTTTGGATTTGACCTTGAGCCTCACCTTCAAGATCATAATAGTGCATGAGAACGTATTCAAACGTAAAACTTTCCTTTTCCGATGTCAAAGAGAGATTTCCAGTTAATAAAAGGATGACCTTGAAATGACTTCAAAGGTGAGGACAAGGTCTTCATTAAAATCTTTGCTATCAAAAATTCTGCTCATCTTCTATGAATTTCTACTAGCCTTTCGCATTTGACCTTCATTTGACCTTCAGGGTTTACTTTGATCTTAGATTTTAATAACGTAAAATCTCTCTGCTTTTACTACGTTTTCTGGCAGTTGCGGATCCAGCAAAGGAGTCCTGGGGGTCCATATGCCTAAAAAATATCCAAGTGTAAAAAAAACCTGACTTTTTTTTCAATTATGGATGACCTCGCAGGCTCTTCAATTTCCAATCACTGATACCTCCCCTGGACTTGGGGGACTTTGAAAATAGGCCTTTACAATAGCGATACACTGGCTATAAAAAAGTTAGTGATTGGCTCTGTACTTTTCTAGATAACTAACCTTGAACAAAGAGTTCAATGCTGACCTTGGATTTGACCTTGAGCATTACCTTTAAGATTATTCAAGGTCAGCTTTTGTTTTTAAGATGGGAAGGCCCTATTTGACATCGGCAATCACCTCTAGATAGCGAGAGGATGTCAAATGTAAAAGGCTAAGTAGAAATTCAGAAAAAAAAAACAAAAATCAAAGTCAGACTCTTTGGTAACTTTCCACTAGGATTTTAATATTGACTTTGGATTTGACCTTGACCCTCATCTTCAAGATCGTAATAGTGCATGAGGACGTATTCAAACGTAAAACTTTCCTTTTCCGATGTCAAAGAGAGATTTCCAGTTAAAACAAGGATGACCTTGAAATGTCTTCAAAGGTGAGGACAAGGTTGACTTCAAGGTCGCCATTAAAATCCTTGTTAATAGCCACCATTGATGAATTTTTGCTATCAAAAGTTCTACTTAACTTCTAGGAATTTCTACTATCCTCTCGCATTTGACCTTCATTTGACCTTCAGGGTTTACTTTGATCTTAGATTTTAATAACGTAAAATCTCTCTGTTTTTACAACGTTTTCTAGCAGTTGCGGATCCAGCAAAGGAGTCCTGCGGGTTCATAAGCCCAAAAAATATCCAAGTGTAAAAAAAAACCTGACGTGTTTTTCAATTATGGATGACCTCCCAGGCTCTTCAATTTCCAATCACTGATACCCCCCTGGACTTGGGGGACTTTGAAAATAGGCCTTTACAATAGCGATATACTGGCTATAAAAAAAGTTAGTGATTGGCTCTGTACTTTTCCAGATAACTAACCTTGAACAAGAAGTTCAATGCGCTGACCTTGGATTTGACCTTGAGCGTTACCTTTAAGATTATTCCAAGGTCAGCTTTTGTTTTTAAGATGGGAAGGCCCTATTTGACATCGGCAATCACCTTTAGATACTGAGAGGATGTCAAATGTGGAAGGCTAAGTAGAAATTCAGAAAATAAAACAAAAATCAAAGTCAGACTCTTTGGTAACTTTCCACTAGGATTTTAATATTGACTTTCGATTTGACCTTGAGCCTCATCTTCAAGATCATAATAGTGCATGAGGACGTATTCAAACGTAAAACTTTCCTTTTCCGATGTCAAAGAGAGATTTCCAGTTAAAAAAAGGTTGACCTTGAAATGTCTTCAAAGGTGAGGACAAGGTTGACTCCAAGGTCTTCTTTAAAATCTTTGTTAATAGTCACTATTGAAGAATTTTTGCTATCAAAAATTCTACTTAACTTCTAGGAATGTCTACTAGCCTCTCGCATTTGACCTTCATTTGACCTTCAGGGTTTACTTTGATCTTAGATTTTAATAACGTAAAATCTCTCTGTTTTTACAACGTTTCCTAGCAGTTGCGGATCCAGCAAAGGAGTCCTGGGGGTCCATAAGCCCAAAAAATATCCAAGTGTAAACAAACACCTGACGTGTTTTTCAATTACGGATGACCTCCCAGGCTCTTCAATTTCCAATCACTGATACCCCCCCTGGACTTGGGGGACTTTGAAAATAGGCCTTTACAATAGCGATATTCTGGCTATAAAAAAAGTTAGTGATTGGCTCCGTACTTTTCTAGATAATTAACCTTGAACAAGGAGTTCATGCTGACCTTGGATTTGACCTTGAGCATTACCTTTAAGATTATTTCAAGGTCAGCTTTTGTTTTTAAGATGGGAAGGCCCTATTTGACATCAGCAATCACCTCTAGATACCGAGAGGATGTCAAATGTGAAAGGCTAAGTAGAAGTTCAGAAAAAAAACCAAAAATCAAAGTCAGACTCTTTGGTAACTTTCGACTAGAATTTTAATATTGACTTTAGATTTGACCTTGAGCCTCATCTTCAAGATCATAATAGTGCAACGTATTCAAACGTAAAACTTTCCTTTTCCGATGTCAACGAGAGATTTCCAGTTAAAAAAAGGATGACCTTGAAATGACTTCAACGGTGAGGCCAAGGTTGAATCCAAGGTCGCCATTGAAATCCTTGTTAACAGCCACTATTGATGAATTTTTGCTATCACAAATTCTACTTAACTTCTAGGAATTTCTACTAGCCTCTCGCATTTGACCTTCATTTGACCTTCAGGGTTTACTTTGATCTTAGATTTTAATAACGTAAAATCTCTCTGCTTTTACAACGTTTTCTGGCAGTTGCGGATCCAGCAGAGGAGTCCTGGGGGTCCATAACCCCAAAAAATATCCAAGTGTAAAAAAAACCTGACGTGTTTTTCAATTATGGATGACCTCCCAGGCTCCTCAATTTCCAATCACTGATACCCCCCCTGGAAATAGGCCTTTATAATAGCGATATACTGGCTATAAGAAAAGTTAGTGATTGGCTCTGTACTTTTCTAGATAACTAACCTTGAACAAGGAGTTCAATGCTGACCTTGGATTTGACCTTGAGCATTACCTTTAAGATTATTTCAAGGTCAGCTTTTGTTTTTAAGATGGGAAGGCCCTATTTGACATCGGCAATCACCTCTAGATACTGAGAGGATGTCAAATGTGAAGGACTAAGTAGAAATTCAAAAAATAAAACAAAAATCCATGTCAGACTCTTTGGTAACTTTCCACTAGGATTTTAATATTGACTTTCGATTTGACCTTGAGCCTCATCTTCAAGATCATAATAGTGCATGAGGACGTATTCAAACGTAAAATTTTCCTTTTCCGATGTCAAAGTGAGATTTCCAGTTAAAAAAAGGATGACCTTGAAATTACTTCAACGGTGAGGACAAGGTTGAATCCAAGGTCGCCATTGAAATCCTTATTAACAGCCACTATTGATGAATTTTTGCCACCAAAAATTCTATTTAACTTCTAGGAATTCCTACTAGCCTCTCGCATTTGACCTTCATTTGACATTTAGGGTTTACTTTGATCTTAGATTTCAATAACGTAAAATCTCTCTGCTTTTACAACCTTTTCTAGCAGCTGCGGATCCAGCGAAGGAGTCCTGGGGGTCCATAACCCCAAAAAATATCCAAGTGTAAAAAAAAACACAACGTGTTTTTCAATTATGGATGACCACCTCCCAGGCTCTTCAATTTCCAATCACTGATACCCCCCCTCCCCATCTTCCTGAACATGAATCCTGCCAAAATATTTTCTAGGTCCGTCCCTGTTTTCCAGGTATCAAATGGTTCCACAGCCAGGTACCTTCTTTTATCATTCGCACACTGGTCTACAAAGGTTTGATGGTCTCTCCGGTCATTTTATCGTGAGACAACCACAGCACAAAGATCCAAACGGACATTTGTATGACTTGGACTTACCCGCTCATGTCATCCAGATCAATGGCTGGATGCACCAACATGCTATTGAGAAGTTTCCAGGGTTGTGGACTGTGAGTATATGTACTTTATCCACCGAAAAACGAAAATTTCCTTATGGAAATCGGACTTACGTCAAATTGGTTGGGTAAGGATAAGGGATAAAATGGTTGAGGTGGAATTATTTAGATTATAAAGTACGTGCACATCCACCATGTTTTGAAGTCCAGTACACCGACGACCAGAAATTATACAGGGTGAGTCACGAGTCGTGAACAAAAATTTGTTATGTGGATTTACCTAAGTGTTATTCACATTCAAAAGTCTTCACTTGAATTTAGCGTGCACCAGTGGCGGAGATACAGGGGATTAGTGGCATAATTTTTCTAATTTTACCTTCAATTTGCCACAAATAATTACTCTTGTGTTTGTATCCTAGAATACACTGTTTTCGTAAAAATAAAACAAACTGGATCATTAATGAAGAGCCGAGATACAATTAATTTCATAATAAAATAGGTGGCCTTGATAGTAACTTGGCGTTTCTTGGGAGATAGTTTGGCCTGAATAGATATACAGGTGAGACACGAAAAGTGCTCTCACTCTAGTAAGTAACAATTTCATTCAGAGAAACCAAAAGCAAGACCCGATCAATCTCCTGATCAACGGTAGAGGAAAATGGATCAACCCTCAGTACGGAAACGTGAGCGACAGTCCCTTCGAGGTATTCGAGGTACTGCCAGGTCGCAGGTACAGATTCAGGATGATCAACGCCCTAGCTTCACCATGCGGCGTTGTGATGAGTACACAAGGTCATACTATGACGGTCATAGCTACCGATGGTGAAAATGTCAACCCAAGGACCGTGGAAGCTATCACATCGTACTCTGGTAAGTCAGGTGTATGTGGGAGTCTAGATTGTTCAACGTAAGCAATTCTTTTAGGTGAGAGATACGACTTTATATTAGTAGCAAACCAAGCTCCTGGACGATACTGGATGCAGTTTTACGCTACAGATAACTGTGAGGAGTACAAAATCACACAATTTGCCATTCTTCAGTATAACGCAAGACCAAGTAGACTGTTGGGCAGCCCGAGTAGCTATGACCAACTGAAAAACGAAAAGAAATTGGTAAATACTTTTGTAATGTGTATTGAAGAAAGGACAATCAGCAAAGATCAGAACATTTCACCGTAACTGATCCACCTCATAGCTGCTACACCAACAACGACAAGATTCGAATATGAACGTCAAGGTCATTTAGAGGTCAACATAAACATTTCATATGGAATTGTGACCTGTTGGCATCAATGATGGAAACACCGTTCTAAGCTGGCCTTGAGCATGACAATGAACTCAAAATGATTTGGAGGTCAACCCAAGGTCACACATGAACAAACGTTTCAATCGCTTCCACCTATAGATCATAACTAACGCTTCTATTTTAAATGTTCAAGTTGACCCCTGAATTACTTTGAAACACTTGGTCAAGGTCATACTGAATATCGTTTCCAAACGCCAAATTTTCCGCTCTAACCATCGGTTTCGTCCAAAAGATACGGTACTATATAGAACTCCCAAGTTGTCATCTGAATGACTTTAAAGGCTCTTCTGAAAGGTCTCGGTGAAGGTCAATTCCGGACGCAAAATTTTCCGCACTGTCCATCGGTGGGGCCCAAAAGATACACGATACTACGAGTATACTAGTTGACATCTAGATAACCTTGAAGCTGACCCAGAAGATACGATAATATAATATTTGACTTCTAAATGACTTTGGAGATCCTTGTCAAGGTAACGGTGAAGGTCATTTCTATACGCAAATTGATAGGTGAGAAACTATGGAAAATTTTCTAGCTCACATCTAAATGACGTTGAAGACCTTGAAGATTGGCATTAGATTGTTCTTTTAAAACCCAACGACTATCGTCTCGACCATTTTATAGTGCTTAATTTTTAGACGTTAAATCCTCCACTGAAAACCTGCGCAGATGATCTGCCAGATGGTGTATGCGTGAGCAGTTTGAGAAGTTCAAAATCTGTTCAGACTGATGTCCTGAAGCAAATACCAGACATCAAAATGTACATGGCTTACAATTTCAGCCTCTTCGAACCCGGAGAATTGTTCGTTCCGAATACTTACACTAAATATGCAGGTAAGGTAAAAGTATCATGTAGATAATCACAACTTCTCTTAAGAATTTCAAGAGAAAAAACAAAAATTTTCAAAATTTAAAAATTTTCAATATTTTCAAAATGTTCAAGATTTTCAAAATTCTTGAAATTTCCAGTTTCCAAAATTTGCGAAATTTTCAGTATTTTCAATAGTGTGAGTTTTTCAAAATTTTTAAAAATCGCAATAATTCCAAAAATTTCAAAAATTTGAAAAATTTCGACATTTTCAAAATTTCCAAAATTTTCAAAATTTTCGAAATTTACAGAATTTTCGAAATTTTAAAAATTTCCGAAATACTAAAAATTTTCAAAATTTAAAAAATATAAATCAAAATTTCCAAAATTTTCAAAATACTAAAAATTTTCAAAATTTAAAGAATATAAAGAATTTCCAGTTTTGAAAATTTTCAGAATTGACAGACTTTTCAAGATCTTTAAAACTCAGAATTTTCAACATTTTTCAAATCACCAATATTTTTATTTTCAAATTTTCAAAATTTCGAAAGTGTGGTCGAAAGCTACATTAATAAGTTTTTTTTTTCAGTTTTCCTTCCTGGTCCGTACATTGTCAGCAGTTTCATGAACCATTTGTCATTCAGCTTTCCTCCGGCACCACTGCTCACTCAGTATCAAGATGTCGCGGACAAGACTTGTAACATGGATAACATACCTAGGGGTTGTTCTAGCAATTCTATACGGAACTGTAGCTGTACTCATGTGGTGTATATACCTCTTGGGGCTGTAGTTGAAATCGTGTTTATAGATGAAGGTTAGCAGATACATTGATTTTTTATATTATCCAACATATGCTGTATTTGGACGTGTACATGATGTCTATCTCCCACTGATACAGTGCAAGGCACATTAGAAAAAAAGAATAGGTGTTTTTAGCAAAAAGATACTACTATACTACTCATTGCCTGACGCGATAGTAAAATTTTTTTTTTTGAAAAATAGTTATGGGAAATAAATGACGCTGACTTTGAGCACCATATACAGACTCAGCTTTGATACATTCTGGTTTAATTTCAGTTGCGTTTGATGATGCACATGCCTTCCATCTCCATGGGTACGCATACCATGTGCTAGGCATGGGAAGCCCAGGTGACTTTGGCTTGCAGAAATTAGACAGAGATCTGGTCATACGTTTAGATCAACAAGGGCGGTTGAAGAGGTAGGTATTGTTCCTCTTTCCTCGTCAATTCCATCAAAAAAATTACATTATCTGAATTTACAAACCCTAAAACACCTGAGGGGTTTTTGACCCAAAATCAGATAGGGGAGACCCGAATCAAGTCTATCTTTCTGTTATCATTGCAGGAATTCTGATATGTGTTAGAATTAAAGAAAACACCTGAAATGATTCGTTGTTAAACCCTCCTTAAACAATAAAATATAATACGTAGTTTTCAAATTTTCAAAATTTCTGTAATTTTCAAAGCTAAAGTCTTGTATCTTAAATTTCAATATTTTCAATATTTTTAAAATTGTCAAAATTTAAAAAAATCTCAATATTTACAAGATTTTTAAAATAATCGTAATTTTCAAAATTGTCAAAATTTTCAAAATCCAAATTTTTAAAATCATCTAAACTTTCAATATTTTCGAAATTTTCGAGGTTTTCAAAATTTTCGAGGTTTTCAAAATTTTCAAAATTTTCGAGGTTTTCAAAATTTTCCAAATTTTCGAGGTTTTCAAAATTTTCAAAATTTTCAAAATTTTCGAAATTTTCAAAATTTCAAAATTTTCAAAATTTTCAAAATTTTTAAAATTTTCAATATTTTCAAAATTTTCAATTTCAAAATTTTCAATATTTTCAAAATTTTCAAAATTTTCAAAATTTTCAGAATTTTCGATGTTTTCAAAATTTTCGAGGTTTTCTAAATTTTCAAAATTTTCGAGGATTTCAAAATTTTCCAAATTTTCGGTTTTCAAAATTCTCCAAATTTCCCAAATTTTCAAAATTTTCAAAGTTAAAGTGCTTGTTGTATCTTAAATTTCAATATTTTTAATATTTTTAAAATTCAGGATTTTAAAAAATCTGAATATTTCCAAGATTTTTAAAATAATCGTAATTTTCAAAATTGTCAAAATTTTCAAAATCCAAATTTTTAAAATTATCAAAACTTTCAATATTTTCAAAATTTTCGAGGTTTTCAAAATTTTCAAAATTTCCGAGGTTTTCAAAATTTTCCAAATTTTCGAGGTTTTCAAAATTTTCAAAATATTCAATATTTTCAAAATTTTCAAAATTTTCAGAATTTTCGAGGTTTTCAAAATTTTCGAGGTTTTCAAAATTTTCCAAATTTTCAAAATTTTCTAAATATTCAAAATTTTCAATATCTTCAAAATTTTCAATATTTTCAAAATTTTCAAAATTTTCAAAATTTTCATGATTTTCAAATTTTCTAAATTTTCAAAATTTTCAAAATTTTCATGATTTTCAAATTTTCAAAATTTTCAAAATTATTAAGATTTTCAAAATTATCAGAATCAGCAAAATTTTGAAAATTTTCACTGCTTTTTTAATTTTCAAAACACTTAGTTAAAGAGCTTGTCATGCGTGATTCCCGTATTACTTTGCTTTCTAGGAATTTCGTCCGTCCTCCATCAAAAGACACCTTGGTGGTACCCAACCAAGGTTACTCTGTGATCAGGTTCAAGGCTGACAACCCGGGTTCCTGGTTGTTCCACTGTCACTACGAGGTACACACATTGGTCGGAATGGCTTTCGTTGTTCAAGTCGGTGATCCTAGCGATTTACCTCCGGTGCCTGATGGTTTCCCGAGGTGTGGAAACTTCTTACCGAATCGACTAGATGAGACTCTTCGTACCAAGGAATGGTGATTTTGAATTGTGATCAATGTGAAGAAAAAATAAAGAATTTAAAAACGATGTTGCTTTTCGTTAGTCAAGTAAAAAAAATAATTATCTCTATTAAATTTGTTTAATTAGTGTTATGTAAATAAGCACGGTTATGTAGGATATAACAATAAAGCAACGATTTTTTTTTCAAAATTTTTGAGTAAAATTCCGCTCGTAAAAAAAACCAAGAAAACAGACCGCACTATCAATCTTAAAACTTTGCTACGGTGACTTGACCCAAGATATCTCAATTTGGATTTATCCATATTTCGATACCTTTGGGGGGAATTTTTTATGTAGTTTTGCTTATAGCCTTTTCCTGTCAGCCTTCTATAACGCCCTGTATAGACGGAGATACTTTGCTATTTTATTAATATCTTAAAAAAATATTCATCGCCCTGTATATTGGAAACTCTGCATTTTCGGATCCACGTTTATAGAAACTTTCTTTCATATTTTTCAACAAGGAATCACCATCCAAGATATCTCCGTCTATTTTTCGAGCACTCTGTTTACAACGCGTTAGAACGCGACTCTTAACGAGATTTGTAATAGAATGAAGGAAACGTGAAAAATATGTATTAACGATGTATAAATTCAGAACTGTTCCGTTACACGATCTGCTACCAGAAATCGTTTGATGCCCGGTGAATAGTGATGAGTGTTGAGGAAGAAGAACAAAGCAAGTGTACCAGAAATTATGTAGACCATCACCGATGACCGCTGAAACACCGGATTATGCCTCATGACTGGATGTTATTATTTTTAATGATCATCGGCCAATTAGAAGCTGCAGGATGTGGGACGGCGAGAAAAATCATCGACGGATATGCGTGACATATCCTTTTGCTGCCACTTTTACTTGCGTAATTGGCCTTTCAAAGAAATCGAGGTGTTATGGATTTATCATTGTACGCTCATTGGGTCACGTTTCTAAACGAAAACCTCGCGAATGCGATGAGAAACATTTATCAACTTTTTTCCAGTTCTACTACTATTGTAATCTTGAAAAAATCCGACAATAGCATACATTTTTTGGATGTCATACAGGGTGAACATAGAAGTACCATGTATTTTTAAACTCAAAATAATGCTTAACAACTCAAAAAATAAATATTATTTGTATTATAGATTTCTTAGATATCTATCATTAAAAGAACATTATTTTCTAAATTTTATTTTCAATGATTTCTTTTTACTTTCAGGATATACCTGTGTTCTTGTACGCAAGGTAATAAAAATCGTTTTTTCCTCATCAGCAGTGATTTAGTAATTTGTAAATAGTTAGTCAGACATAAATAGTAGTGTACATAAATGTTCTATCTAGTCAAGTTAAATAAATTAGTGCATTTCTTTTTGTGGAATCCCATGTTTTAATCCACACCCAAAAGACCCAAAAAAAAAAACGCTGCACTATATTTATGTGCTTATTCCTGTATTCCTTGACATGCCTTATGTGGTGTATATCATAAAAAGGCAATAAAACTACTACTACTACTATAACTGCTATTCCTCTCAAGCACCTCGTATTCCATAATAGCATACCAGTCCATTATTTGGTATATCTATTTTTGATAGATTGCAAGTATACCGTTTAGACTTCCATCAATCATTGGGTTAAAGAGAACATCAAGCTCAATAGACAATAATATCTCAATTATTTGAAATCAAGAAGCATTGAGAATAATTGAGTAAGATTTGTTGTTGTTTCAAGATAATGGAAAAATTAATGATCTGAAGCAAATTGTGCAATGTAATAATTTTAAGGAGTTATGTTATGTTACTGGCATGATGGTTTCTTTACAGTGAATTTGGGCTGATAGTTCTTCAGGCCAACAGAAATGGTGGAAAACGGGATGGCAAGAAGCTGAGTTTAACATGGAATAATAATAATAATCTCCCACAGAAGTGTCGTACGTAAATCACATAAAAAAGGTAATGACAACAAGATAAAGATAAATAGATAGAGAAAAGAGATAAAGCTATAAATATGAAGATAATTGTGGAGATATAAAGATAAAGATAAGAAGATAAAGATGAAAGGATGAAGGTAAACAGATAGAGATAAAAAGATAAAGGTAAAAGGATAAAGATAAAAAGACAAAGATAAAAAGACAAAGATTAAAGACAAAGATAAAAGATAATAGATAAAAAGATAAAGATAAAAAGATAAAGATAAAAAGGTAAGGATAAAAAGGTAAAAGATAAAAAGATAAAGATAAAAAGATAAGAGAAAAAGATAAAGATAAAAGGATAAAGATAAAAAAGATAAAAGAATAAAAAGATAAAGATAAAAAGATAAAGATAAAAAGATAAGATAAAAATATAAAGATTAAAAGATAAGATAAAAAGATAAAGATAAAAGAAAAGATAAAAAGAATAAAGATAAAAAGATAAGAGAAAAAGAATAAAGATAAAAAGATAAAGATAAAAAATAAAGATAAAAGATAAAAGATAAAAGATAAAGGTAAACATAAAGATAAAAGAATAAAGATAAAAAGATAAGATAAAAAGATAAAGATAAAAAGATAAAGATAAAAAGATAAAGATAAAAATAAAGATAAAAAGATAAAGAAAAAAGATAAAGATAAAAAGATAAAGATAAAAAGTAAAGATAAAGATAAAGATAAAGAAAAGATAAAAAGATAAAGATAAAAGATAAGATAAAAGAAAAGATAAAAAGATAAAGATAAAAGATAAAGATAAAAAGATAAAGATAAAAAGATAAAGAAAAAAGATAAAGATAAAGATAAAAAGATAAAGATAAAAGATAAAGATAAAAAGATAAAGATAAAAGATAAAGATAAAAAGATAAAGATAAAAAGATAAAGATAAAAAGATAAAGATAAAAGATAAAGATAAAAGATAAAGATAGATAAGATAAAAGATAAAGATAAAAAGATAAAGATAAAAAGATAAAGATAAAAAGATAAAGATAAAAAGATAAAGATAAAAAGATAAAGATAAAAAGATAAAGATAAAAAGATAAAGATAAAAAGATAAAGATAAAAAGATAAAGATAAAAAGTAAGATAAAAAGATAAAGATAAAAAGATAAAGATAAAAAGATAAAGATAAAAAGATAAAGATAAAAGATAAAAAGATAAAGATAAAAGATAAAGATAAAAAGATAAAGATAAAAAGATAAAGATAAAAAGAAAGATAAAAAGATAAAGATAAAAAGATAAAGATAAAAAGATAAAGATAAAAAGATAAAGATAAAAAGATAAAGATAAAGATAAAGATAAAAAGATAAAGATAAAAAGATAAAGATAAAAAGATAAAGATAAAAAGATAAAGATAAAAGATAAAGATAAAAGATAAAGATAAAAATAAAGATAAAAAGATAAAGATAAAAAGATAAAGATAAAAAGATAAAGATAAAAAAAGATAAAGATAAAAAGATAAAGATAAAAAGATAAAGATAAAAGATAAAGATAAAAAGATAAAGATAAAAAGATAAAGATAAAAAGATAAAGATAAAAAGATAAAGATAAAAGATAAAGATAAAAAGATAAAGATAAAAAGATAAAGATAAAAAGATAAAGATAAAAAGATAAAGATAAAAAGATAAAGATAAAAAGATAAAGATAAAAAGAAGATAAAAAGATAAAGATGAAAAGATAAAGATAAAAAGATAAAGATAAACAGATAAAGATAAAAAGATAAAGATAAAAATATAAAGATAAAAAGGTAAAGATAAAAATATAAAGGTAAAAAGATAAAGATAAAAAGATAAAGATAAAGAGATAAAGATAAAAAGATAAAGATAAAAAGATAAAGATAAAAAGATAAAGATAAAAAGATAAAGATAAAAAGATAAAGATAAAAAGATAAAGATAAAAAGAGAAAGATAAAAAGATAAATATAAAAAGATAAAGATAAAAAGATAAAGATGAAAAGATAAATGATGAAAAATATAAAGATGAAAAGATAAAGATGAAAAGATAAAGATGAAATATAAAGATGAAGAGATAGAGATAAAAAGATGAAGATAAAAAGTTAAAAAAAAAAAGATAGAGATAAAAAGATAATGATAAAAAGAAAAAGATAAAAACATTAAAGGTAACTATATAGTGAGCATTGAATTAGCATGACAACAACTGTGTTGGTCATTTTCCATTATCGGATAAAACTTAATTAGGTAATTTGGAACGCTGAGTTCAAATATATGAGAGATCTCTTTTCTCATACGATCAATCCGATCCACACCTTTGCCGATGACTGCACTTTACACGCAGGCATTTAGTACGTAACTTGAAAAGTGACATTATATGGATTTTTAATGACATCCATGCCTACTGAGCAGACCGTGGGTTTCTAGCTCGTTTTTCCAAATGAAAGGGTCCTTGCAAAAGGGGCGCAAACCTAGCCTAATCAGATTGGTACATAATAGAAAGGCATCTATTAATTGAAGGTGGTTTGTACATGCATTCCTTATTGTCGGGCTAGCCTCTTGAAGAACGATCTGCATGCATTCGCGAAGCCTCGTTAGCATTTTGAAGACACTCACCGTAAATTGAAATAATATGGACAACGATATTGCATTCGCTTCTTTGTATTATATAATTTATCCCTGTTTATTAGCAATAACTAAAGATTAGTATCGCAACACAGATAGTATTTCTGTCTAGCTCTACGTAAATCGAAAGCATGAACAATTTGATGCAAATATGTAGATATTTGTAACATGATCTCAAACTGGAGCGCTGACACGGAACAGTAGAAAACTATGAAAATTAAGTAGATCATAAACGACTGACTATACGACCCTTAACTTTGATAGCAGAACATTGGGCGAGTGACCATTTTAAACATCTAACTGCGGTGTAATGTGTACCATCGCGAAGTCAGCTTTTAAATCTTCATTTGTCTCATTGAATGAGCAGAACGAGTTCGGTACAACCTTCACTCGGGATGTCATTATACATATCGATCCTTAAAAGTACCAAACGCCATTTAGTGCCAGCGAGATGAAGAAAAACGACATCAATCCGCCATGAAATCGTAGTACGTGTTCCTTTTTTGCGATTATGCTTGTTGGTAATGGAAGTACCAAGTAGTACCATGTAGACAAAAGAAAAAGGAGGAATGGCAAGGCCCTGTTAGCCCAAGAAAATG